TCGACCTTTTTAAAAGCGAACATCTAGTTCTATTTACTAATTTTAGTAGCCTCTTTCAAAGTTCGGTCATAGAAAAATCTTTTTACAGTAACAATACAAATATTCTGTGTATGGAAATTAAATATTACAAAAGAATGGTTAGTATTCCTTTCTTTGTCTAGTTGTCATGATTTGGTTAAAGGCAAACATACTCCAAAATCCAAAGTCCCCTTTAATAAGTACGTTGAATGATTTCATATCTCCATGCAACAACAAGGCGGTGTTGTGAAGATAATCCAATGCTTTTGATATGTCTCGAAGCACCTTTAATTTAGTATTTGGTGAATATGGTACTTCACTCAGATGATCCAGTCTGTTTTCAATCATATCGCCAGAGAGCTGGAACATTCCTCCATTATCAAAGCACTGTCACCATCTTTGTCTTTGCTAATTGCTCTGAGTCCGACAATATTTGGATGTTTTAATTTTCGAAGAATTTCTGCTTCAAATCGTAATCTTTTTTCCATTGATTCCACTATTCCAGTCTCCTTTTCTTTCAGAACCTTCTTAACTGCCCAAGGGGAATATGTTCTATTTTGTATTGGTGACCTATGCATCTCATAAACTGCTACACCTGCTACACCAAAACCTATTTTCTTCATGAAAGGAGATGCAGGTATTTGTATCACATTGTCTTTTTTATTCCTTAAAGGAGTTTTGAAGGAATCCATTATTGCTAATTTCTTGGAAGTTTCAAACTTGACGTTCGTTGAAATACGAAAAATATGTCTGTCAAAATAAATATATTATGTTTGGTTGAAAAAACCATATTTGTTCTTCATGTCCATGATCTCAATTTTTGAAATTTTCAACGATTTCAACCGACACAACTTTTTCAAATTCCAAACTGTGTATTATTATCGCAGGTACAAAATATATCGAATGGAAATATGAGAAAAAAACCATTGAAATGTAACTATTGCAATTTGTTACTTCCACTACCAAAATGTGTTGACTTTGTTTTCAACATAATATGAAACTCGGACAATACAAAATATCATTCTCACCCCAATGTTTGCGACCATCAAAAATATTCTTGAAATGTTTGCGGGATTTTGTCAAGAAAGCCGAAATCTTTATTTTCCGAAGTTCATTACCACTGCAATTTCAATAGTAAGCAATTGCGATTGAAATATTATGGGAAGTGATATGTTTGTCATTTATAGGTTCAATTTCAACACTTGAAAAAGAAACTTCACATTCTGTAAAGAAAAAAGCCTGTTGGGATTCAAATATATTCACTTTCAATAAGTCATACTTGATTAATCATCAATTGAAATGTTTGCCCAACTTTTCGAAAGACCAGGCTTAGTTTTTGAAGGCTCTCCCATATTTTTCTTCATTTTAAGGCACAGCAAGTTGTTTCCTACTTTTATGACACCTTCTCCGGCTTCAAAGTTATATTTCTTGACTGTGCAATAAGACAAAATTTTATGGCATTACTTTCAACAAAATCTCCCCACCTTATATAGCTGAAAATTTCAACAAAATATTTTACATGTGAATTAATAAACATTTGTTTCTCAAACATTTTCATCTGATTTGATCAGCTTCAGTTAAATTTGTTTGCCATTTTCCATGATTATCTCCTACCAATTTATTAAATTTTTTGTTTGAATTGTTCGAAGGGTTGAAATAATCAGCATTCTCGGTCATATCGTTATGGATTTTTTGCCATTTTAATTGATAATATGGCAAACTAATGCGAAATTCCATTCATAATGAAAATGTGGTGATAGCATGTGTCGTCTGTAGTAATTACAAGATAATGAGCCAATCATGAGAAGATCCAGGAAACGTTTATAACCACCAGTGTGTTCGTTCAGTCGTCACAAGGTGCTTACTAATATTTTTTTTGCACGATGGAACATTTCTGTTTTTCAAAACACGATATTCAAGGGTCTATGATTTTTTGAAGTAATGTTGTCGTATATTCAATAATATCTATTATTATTTTTACAATTCAAATTTAGAAATGATGGAGAAAATTACATAGTTGGTAGAACTTTCATGTTAGTAAGAAACTGGAAAGCGTTGTCTTTTGATTGAAAATTGTGACTACCAGTACATAGATGGCAGCACCAACTTCATGTTTCTTATTTCCCATAATCATTTGTTTAATTTCCAGGAGTTTTCCTTCTGAAGACTGTTGAAAATGAATTGTTGAAAAAGGCACTGATTCCCCACTTGATATCTGTTGCTATTAAATTGAAATTGCTCACCTCTTTTTCATAACTAGAGGTTTCCTTCGAAATTTTAAGTATTTGAATAATAATTTAATAATTAAACAAAATCTTGAATGCTTTTATTTAACAAAGATTGTAGTTTCAGATATTCATTGTGTTCATTTTATAATTAGTGTATTTCATTCAGTAACTTTTTTAATTTCAGATATTCATTGTGGTGTTTTTATTTACACAAAAACTGTGAGTTTCAAATGTTCATTTTATTTTTTTTTGTATCTGAATCCGAATATTTTGAACTTCATTGTTTTAAATTATCAAAATTGTTTGTTCTTTGGTTGTTCTTTACCCACACACATGGTATGTTTCCCACATACTTCTCTTCATATTTATGATATTTCTAAAAGTGATTACGAATCGAAAGATCTAGTTTAGACAATTTGAATTAAAACTCATACCTAGACGAAGGTGAAATCGAGAAAAAATGTTAAAATAATTCAATTTTGATTACTCATATTATTTCGATTGAAATAAATTCGTTATTCATGTAGCGTGATATGTTCTTCAATGCGTTTCTTTATTGGACTTTATTTTTGTCCAATGTAGTTCGCTAAGTTCATTTGATGTTTATATATTTTCACTTTTTATGACAAACCACATATTTGTTATTAATACATAACATTATTTTCATTCCAATTTCCGGAAGTTCAATTCTTCAGCATCAATAATTGTTCAAAGAATGAAATATTTTTGACAAAGCCATCTGCCAGCAATGATTTTGAAATACTATTTTTCAAATTCGCACGTGTATATAACAAAATTTTAATATGAATATGGAACAAGGAGTTATGATTAAAATTGACTTCATGAACAAATGATATTGTTGTATTATAGCTTGTTGTGTCATATACCATTAATACTACATACTAAATAAGAGCTTGAACTATGAAAACTTATACAATCTGATAAATTCATTGAAAAAGCTTCATCAGATATAAGGAAGTCTTCAATTCATAAGATATTCGAATGATGAAAAATTGTGAAAATCTAAACGAAAAAATCAGAAGATTGTTTGATTTCAGTAAAATGGCATAAGTTGACAGGCTCCTGTCAAATTATTCACGTACAAATACATGAATATTCTTCTTCCTGTCATCTTGGTCATAAAATATGAATTTATAGATAAAAAAATACTTCCCTTTAAATGAAATAGCCAGTAGGGAAAAACATCCTGGGACACCCATTTAGAACTCATCAATCAATTACGGAATTTGTAACACACACGAAGCGATTATGATGTTTCTGTTGACTTTTACGAGTTTTACGATCTGTTTAATGCTCATAACGGCCATTAAATAAGTTTATAGCATCGTAAAGAATCCAAGAAGCACATATGCCGATAGGAGCCAAAAAACTCTCGGCTCGTGCCGTTTGCACTGAATTAAATTGAGGTGTAAAACTTTGAGATAATGGCACAGGTCTCATTAGCTATTTGAATGAAAAATGAATGAGAAATTGCGGCACATTTTTTTGTTACTCGAGTTTTTGACCTCCCAGTTTGCCTTCGAACGCAGAATTTCATTCAAAAGTTAATAGTTGATCACATTCGAAAGAGTGAGAACATTTGAGTGAGGCAACGGTTGTTCCTGTTCCAAGCCACAGAAATAAATTTTATCATTTGTCCATAATGTTTAAGAAAGTGTTCCCATTTTCCGAGTAGTAGTTGATACCCATTTTCAAGCCCAATGAACGTAATAATAATCCTTATTGATTTATTTTCTAGATATATTACTTGAAAAATAATGTCTATTATCAAAGTGTCATCTATTCAATTACGTGACAAATTCAAAATAACACAGGACGAAAATTGTGTTTTTACGAGTCATTTTAGTTACTATATTTGAGGTTCTCTTTCATAAATACTTAAAACCCCATTAACTTAAGCATTATATTCGATATAAACGAAGTCTTGAATAGGTACTGAATAGGTAGTCAAATTAATATCTTGATAATCACATTTTGATGAGTTCATATTAGGCAATTTAAGTAGGAATTTTCAGATTTTTCAACTGGAAGAGAGAAATTAACCGAAATTCAACTCTACTGTTGTTATCACTCTATCTGTCATCGTTACTATCAACTGGTGAATATTATCAATAGTTGAACAAGTTGGATATGAAGCTGGACAATTTCACTTCAAAAAAAGCTTTCCCTTAGTGCAAATAGGCTGTCTTACAGATGTTTCCTCTGACCGAGTGGCAATTAGAAAAATCCGTTAGATAGACGTAACACTTGACAAAAAAACCGCTGAGAAACTATGTCAAGTCGGTTAAACTGTTACTGATATCAAATTAACCGTATCCATTACTTTTAATTATTATTGGGTGCTCAGTTCACCGCGGTTTTATGTGTATTTAATCGCTCTTTATTGCTGTAATTACGGTAATTTCATTACACTCGATAGACAACCTTCTTCTTTGGCTTCACACTTTTTCCACCGTTATTTGCTGCCATTATAATATTCTTATCGAGACTCATCTCGGTAATTACCTCCTGCAGGAATTTTTTAAGCATGTAAGACGTTTGTGGAAAAGTGGTCAGTCGAGCTTATTTGCAGAAATTGCAAGAAAATGTTGACTGATTACTTTATTTAGAAAAGGAATGTTTTTGACTTCTCGTTGACAAGAAAAGAATCATCGTGTCCCACGGTACTATGCGAACAGTACTATCAGTTATCATTTTATTATATTGTATTTTCAATATTCTTATTTGTTCCAGGTGAGCCTTTCAAGTGTCAGTGTGAAATGTAAGTATCAAATGATTATTATTAATATCAGAGTCCATAATAGTTATAAAACTGAAGTTATCTCTCAAACTGTTATGATTATCTCTAAATTTTACCAAATACTACAATAAGCTAATCTGGTTTCTCTTAAATCGATATTAATACTATTGAAGTTATTGAAAGACGGGAAATTTTTCATAGTTATCTGGTAGAAAAGCCGAAATATTGATTTGAAAACTTCAGCCAATGGTATCTAGATTTATATTTTTTCTACTTATTTTTTCTACTATCAGGTACTAAGAAATGATTAGATTGAACTGTCATTTTGAAACTTCCTTGACTACTTTATTTGCCACGAATTGTAATTTTTTTCAGTCGCTTCAGTTACTACATGTTCAGTTACGTGTTTGTATAAAATTTACATTCACTGAATAAAAACTGAGCTATTTTATTTTCATTACTCGAGTTGGAAATTTTTTCTCGTTCAATTTTTCATACAACAGAAAACAGTGCAGTTATTGAATATTTTGAGAAAGACGTTTAATTTCAAAAAGTTTAACTGAGCAAAAATCAATTTGATCTTCAGTACTCAACAATACCCATTTTGTGGAAACTGGAAAAAGTATTTTTCGAATATTATACCAATAATTTTCAAATACCTAATTATTTACTTTTCAACTGAAAAATAAATATTTATATTTGTGGTTGTACATCGATTGTTTTCATCTTTGAAGAATATATTTCAAAAATTCCATTATAAACTGCTATAATCAATGTTAGTACTTGGTCAATTGGCCAATTGGCCAACTCCATCATATATATTCGAATAGATTAGAAAATTATTCATCAGAATATTATGTTATTGAATGATCTCACTTCTGACACCAAAATATTTCGCATTTTTTTCCACCCGTCAAATATGTTTGATAATTGAAACTAGGGTATAATGAATTGAAATGAGGTTACTTTCGTTCAGCCGGATCGAATGAGATCGCATACTCTGTTTTCATTGAAGCCTTTTTTTTGTTATAATCAGAAACATAATAAGCTGCCGTGGAGCTGTAATTAAATCCTGATTCAAATTCCACCAACAATATCAAGTTTGTTGTTAAGTGAAGGTAATAAATTTAGTAAATCTCGTGAGAATCAATCTGGTCACCATCTTCAACAAAAAGGATTCTGAAAGCAGTGTTGCCAACTCAGTAAAGTTGTTTTGCTCGAGGTTCATGTCAAATATCCTCAAAATTTGATCGTAAAGAGCAAGACATAAATTCATGGAAAAATGTACGCTTACCTACTTGAAATGTAGCTGAAATTTTAGGAAATGCAGTTCAACAATAAAAAAACAAAAATAAACAAATAGGTCAAATGATGAATATTACTGGAGTTTTTTCCCAACATCAAATCGTTATTTTTAACACCTCGACACGTGAGAGTTAAAACTTCGCAGTTTTAATCTTCCTCTTTGAAGATGATCACTTGGTGATCGAAACACGTGTCGAGGTGTTAAAAATAACGATTTTGTGTTGGTAAAAAAACTCCAGTAATATTCATTACTACACCCCAGGTTCCAAACAGTGCATCATAAGGTCAAATGATCATGTCTTTCAATTGTTTATTAGCCTGTGTTTGCAGACTCTTGGGCTTGGTGTTTCGTCCGCAACTGCGGCAGACAAAAGGTTAGGCTAAAAAACCTGCAGACCACGGCTAATAAAACCAAGAACAGCAAATAACTGTTAGATCAGATGATTTTTGTCGAGAAAAAAATACATCTAGCATAGACCAATGGCTACAAAGAACATACTCGTAAAAGTGAAGAAGAAATAGTTTTGTTGGTTTGTTTGGACCATTCGTTTCACCAAAAATTTGACACTGAGTGCCTGGGCACTCCAAAGTTAAAGTGATCCGCTGAGATGAAGTAGCAGGTGTAAAATGCGCAGAACATTCGCAATAAATGCGCAAAAATACTGATAATACGATTTTTTTTTAATAAACTTCATTCAGCAATCTTATTGTTGGCAGGCACATCAACTTCTTATGTGAAATATCAATTTTACGGTTGTCTCCAATATCAATCGACTTGAAGGTGGTTTAAAGGCAATTAGGCCGTTGATAGCCTTCCAAAGGAGGAGATCAGGGTTTTCTATCTGACTTTGAATAATCCTGCAGTGGAAAAGAGAAATGAAATATCAGGATGAGAAAGTAGCTCAACACACCACCAGTAAAATATTATGCAAAAAAAATCCTATATTTAATCAACAACTCGAGTTTCAGGTTTCGTAGAATAATATTATGTACATTTTTAGTCGTGTATAGTGAGGATGGAAAGTCTTTTCAACTCCTACCTCTCGTTATCTGAGTTTTTTGTTATTTTTTTTCGCTCTTGCGAAGTGTTTAAAAAATCTTTCACTACAAAGCTACCACACAAGCAAATAATTAATAATTCAACCCTAAATCGTGATCCGCTTGAGGTACAGGTGAAATTGATCTACTGGGGGGAAATGGCTGGGTGTATAATGCGCAGAAAATTCTCGAAAACCAGAATGCGCAGCAAATGCGCAAAAATACTAAAACTACGCAGAATTCACGTATTTTGTGCCTTGTTGGCAACACTGTCTGAAGGTGATTTCTCTCGTCCTTTACCGTCTGTAAGCGCGTTTCTGAGGTGGACAAGGACGGAGAATACGCCCGTAGGTTACTGTATCGAGTGGGATAGCTGGCTACGGGCGAGGTATTAAAAAACGTTATTATAATAATAATCACATGGACGCAAGTGGCGGGTCGAATATAAATCATTTCGCGATCCTGCCTGCTGGACTGGTCACTCACGTGACTGATTTATTGATCAAATTGTCGGCTTCCTTCCAAACGACGCCGTACTTGTTTTTGTGGTGTTTTTCGAAGCGATGATAACGCGTATTCTTCACTTTCAGAGATGGGGTTCTCAAAATTTTATGCTACAGTAGATGGATAAGTTCTTGAGAACAGAAAATGAAGATGCAGAAACGTTCCATAGTATAAGAAGTAAATTTGTGCTCAAACTTCATTCTAGTCAGGAAGTAAATGATGAACGTTCTGAACATGTTTTTGAAATAAGTTAGGGTACATTTTGAATTCATTTTTCCTTGAAACTTTGGTATCTGACCAGCTGCCCGCTGGTCAAATATCAGAGCTGTCAGAGTTCAACCTGCCTATTGACTGACATTCGTTTCTATAGAGTCATATTTTTTATATTCTGTATGGTCATATTAATTTGTATTTATATAATTTTTAATTCAGTCAATAAAAATGATTATAATTTTTTTTCAAACAATTTTTCTCATGAATATCTAGGTTAGTTAGGTCAGGTTAGGCCAAAGGTAAGAGGGTCGATTCGTCCCTCTACCGCAATCCGCAAGGGTTTATTGTGGCTTTCTCCTATTCAAACTCGAGCAAATAAACCCAGCTTCTTAACGAAGCCGATTATTTTGTATGGTGAGTAATGTGTCAGGTCAGATGGTTAGAGTGCGGCTCTGCCAAACTTTGAAAATCTGATTCGGACACCAGCGGGGCAGGCACAAAATATGTGCTCTGCTGTTTCATCATTTCCAAAACAGAGGTAACACACACTGTCTTCAGACGACAGGGACCTGTGAGAAGGCCTGTTAGACATCGTAGTTCATTCCTACTGTAGTCCAACAACTGTTTGGTATCAAGCTCCGAAGGGTGAATAAACGCCTTGGAGTGAGCCAATCCTGAAAGATTCCATAAATCTTCTTGACATCCAGGTGTTCGTCGTTTGTTTGGCAAAGCCTATAGCGATGCCAAAGACATCAGGTTCTGGTCCATTGAAGCTGCTTGCAGCACCCTCCTTTGCAAGGGAGTCAGCAATCTCATTGGTTTCCAGGCCAGTATGGCCAGGAATCTAGACCAAAGACAGTCTGTTAAGTCTTCCTATCGAGTAGAGTCGTTTTTGGCAATTTGCTACCCATTTAGACGCTGCTTAGTAGGAGCCACGAGCTTCCAACGCCGCTTGACTGCCCGAGAATATTTTTATTGACTTGGGTATGAGATAGAATTCTTCCAATCTCTCCGCACACAATTCAATAGCATAAATTTCCGCTTAACGTACAGTCGCATAGGTTCCCAGGCAGGTTGGTATGTTTAACCTGCACCAGAACCTGAAGGAGTTTTGATCATCCATCTGTGAACCTAAAACTATCTGCTCTTACATCAATATCTAAGATATGGTTCATTGTCAAAGCATGTCCATGTATTGTATCACTACTTCACTCACAGCGTCCATGTTTTTTTCTGTACAACCTATGTTTTGTTTTCATTTCATCAAAAATTGTATATGTGCATCTTTGCCAAAATCGAAGCCCTTGTAGATATAATACCACCTATGTAACAATACATTTTACTCAGGCATTTTTCCAGCTTCATATTCATAATTGATCAATCCTCTCATCAATTATATACATATCAATATATGTTAATTGATTTGATAATCTGTGAAGGGTAATAGAGCAGTTAATGATCTCGTAGAAAATGATTGGGAAGTAACCCAGACTTTTATGTTGGATGGGGCATCAAATCAATATTACCACAAGTCATTAATTGAGTTACAATTTAGTGAATTTGTGAGAGATGGACAAGGCAAAGAATGAGCCTATGCTGGAGGTTGGTTTTTCCTAGTGCTGAAATGACTTCTGGGGAAACAAACGGTTGTGTTCTATTCATAATTGACCATTCTCAAGACCAGACTGTCTTGAGGATTTTTACGCAGTACTTGTATGTCTCCAAAATTACTATTCCTTTATGTATTTATTGGTCTCATAGATTGTATTTGGTTCGGCTTTTTTGTTACACCCATATTACATTTCAAAGTTATATGGGATATTTTGCGTATTGCATCTCATCAGTTCATTCATATAACAACTTCCAAATTCATCTATAATATCGAAAGTACCTTATCACCAGAAATCAAAACTTTATTTTGGGATTATCTACTCGTTGTGGACAACAAATATGAATCTATA